GTGTGTGTGTGTGTGTGTGTGTGTGTGTGTGTGTGTGTGTGTGTGTGATGGAGAAAATGCGACCAAAATCAGGTATTTATTTAAGACTTTTAACAGAGGTGTTTCTGTCTCAGATTTACTTGGAAATGTTCTTTTTTTCCCTTTTCTTAGCAAAACCAGATGAATAATAACAGCTTAATTAAAAACTCTTGGTGTTTTTGCATAATCAGTTAAAGAGGCCAAGGCAGACAACACCGGCTTTCCAGAATTTAAAACGCAACACTTCATTTTAAAGCTTTTGTTGCCAGCTGAGCGGGATAATTTCAACAGTCTACGAGTGGTAATTATTTCATTTTAATCCACTGGCAATGACCTTTCATTTCCTCRTTTTTTGATGAGTGTTTGTGTATTTAAAGAAAGAAAATCCCTTTACAACCTAGTTAAATTAGCTTCTTTTATTAGAATTTGCAAATGCAAATTAGAAAAAACGATTTTTTGATAATAAAAGAGTTAAGAGTATCACCACAAAAGAGGATGACTCCAGTGTTCCCTCACTGAAGAACAAATTCAACACAATTGAGTAGATAAAATCATTGCAACTGCAGCTAAAACAGCACTTCAAAGGCATTCGGGTTCATTTAAACAAAAAATAAAAATTTTAATAAATCTAAAGTTTTTGTATTTTCTGTCTTGAAATACAGTTATTTGCATGCACTTTTTTTTCAAGCATATAGTTTCACATTTTCAAMGTTAAAGTTCTGTTAAGGGGAAAAAATGGTTTGCAGTGTTTCTTTGATTGACATGTGGCTGCCCCGCCCCTCTTCTTCTTTAAAGGACGTGTTCAGTTTATTTAAAGTGGAACTGAATGACCATAATTTACCATAACCTCAATTTTTCTCCAATATTTAAGTTTTTATTTCTGTACATTATCATGAACAAACCTTTTGTTTAAACTGTTTTCACTGTAAACATGGACATCTGATTTCGTTTGACACAGTTTCTATTTTTCAGCTCTTGAGGAAGTTCTGGAAACAACAGGAGAACCAGCTGGAGCTGAGTCCACATCATCCCTGTGCATGAAGTCCAGAGGTTCTATCATCCCGTCCTGCAGCTCCCTGGAACATACAGTGTACRTTAAACATTTTCAGCAAGTCAAAATCACACAGTGCAACTCAAACAACCTTATCACAATGTATTCTGTTTGTTACCTCAGTCACAAACAGAATGATGACACATCTATAAGCAGTTTCTTCATAATGCAGCACAAACTGTTTTCTATTCCCTTGCCCTGAAACCTGTTACGCAACAGCTCCACAACAGGAACACTAAAAAAGGGAGCCTTTGTGTCCACTTTCTTCACTCCGTTCACTTTCACGCTGTCCTGCAACTTTCATCGAGCCCCTGGAGATGTGATGTTATGAGCAACGCTTGAAAACAAAGTCTGTAAAAAAGCCGGGCAACAAGGTCCACCCTGGAGCTGAGATTCCTAAACTACTGACTTCATTTTCTCTCTGTGGTCCAGCTCCTCTGGAACAATAGAGCTCACAGCACCGGAGCTGTAAATGTTCCAAGAGATGTTTCTAAAAATAAATAAATAAATATAAATTTATCTGCCTAAAAGTGAACACCATGCTGAGTGGAAGGTTTCAGAATAATAAAACGTTGATAAATATAGAAATAAATTTCCAATTTAATAACCTGACATTTGTTTTACAGTCGTTTTATACAATTAAAGCACTTTGTGGTTTACTAAAAGTACCTAAAAGGACAAGTCTAATCTGACGAACAAACATTTAGAGTTGTGAGGATTTTGAGTTCGAAAAATAAAAGAAACCAACAGCTGAATAAAAATACCCTCTGTAAAGTAGATGTTTGTTTTAAAGAGACTAGAAAATAACCAGTGTTTTAAACACAGTCTTCTGTTTGAGTACATCCTAAAATTCCAGTAAACACACAAAACACTCAACTGTCGACAGGCATCCTTAAAGGAATGCAGACTTCATGCCAGAGTTTTAGATTAGAATCATCTAAAGTTAAAGTAAAGGTTTTTTGCAGAGGTTTATAGCACCTAAGTACATTTAATTTGTTACAGTGTTTTAAGTTATTTTTTTGAGGATTTTTGAAGTTTTAAACCTAATGACACTTTTACTTATTTACTTTAAAATTTAACACCTAGTTGCTCGTTGCAAAATTAAATCTGTCTGAACTCGTCATGAAAGGAGTTGTTTCTGCACTCTAAAAATGAAGTGTTATGTCAACTGGTACTACTAAACCTAGTAGAGTATGAACATGAGGTAAAATACATATTTTCTTTAAAAGAAAATATGTATATACTCAACTTGGTTCAGTGGAACCAGTTTGGTTAGGTCAATTCAACAGTATTTATTAAAGAGTAGGTAAAAATACTTGTACTTTTCTGATTTTTGTGAACAGTTTTGACTTTTACTTAAGTACTTTTTTCATCAGTAAAATATTTTTTTTTACCAAAGTCATTTTCTGTTAAGGTATTTTTACTTTTACCTAGTTATTTCTTTCAAGTACTTCATAGACCTTTGGTTATTTGTGAAAAAGGAACTGTTCATGGAACAAAACAAACTTGATTTTCTTGAAAGAGTTCTGTGAAAACTTCTGCTGCAACAATTACCAACACAGAACGAGTCTGAATCTCTCAAGATGCTTGACAAAATAAAAAATGCTGTAATTCGGGTCGGGTTATCTGTTTTAATCTATTATTAATCTGAGTAATGAATTAATTACATTTATGATTCTTAACTACATTATCTCAGTTTCAAAACAATCAGAAAAAAAGAAGTCACACAATGATTGGTTACATTCAGGAGAGTTTTAGGTTATTTCTCAGCAGACAAGGTTGGGACAAAATTCTTTCTGTGCTGTGTCACATGGGTGRAGAAACTATAGATATCAGGTCATCTGCCCTTCATTTTCTTTCAATTGACCACAGCTGCATTCGGTGATCTTCAGCTCGTGTGTGTGTGTGTGTGTGTGTGTGTGTGTGTGTGTGTGTGTGTGTGTATCCCCCACTGCTAAATTTTACTGCCAACTGTCCCTGCTATGAACCACTGATTCCATTTCCCCCTTTTTTGGTCTGATGAAGTCGTCTATAACTGACATATCAGCAGTTTTTGTGTCTGCAGACAAGAAAACCTTCTCAGAAACTGTTTCTGACATAAATGTTCTTGTCATAAATGTTTAAAGGAGATACAGCATGCTTTTAAATCCATCTTTTTCACATTTAAAGAGGACATTTCATGAAAAATCCACTTTTTTAGCTAAGTACATTTTGTTGTGTCCTTGGAGTTTCTAGGAAGCAGAAAAGTTTAATTTATTCTACCAGTGCTGCTTAGATATTCTGTTTAAATCATAATTTTCAGCCCGTTCAGTTTTCTCTATTTTCTATGTCGTTTTCTGGGTCTATTACGTCCGCAACGGAATTGCTAAATAAGGTCTGGACTTACCAACTACAGTTTCCTCGTCTTAATTCTCCTCTGGTTCTGGGTCAGCATCTGGCTCCAACATGTWAGGGTGTTTGGACAAGTCTTCTGTTGTTGACATCTTTTAATTAAATTGTAAATAAAACGTTTCCGCAAGCTAGAAAACRTAAACCCCCGCCTTTAAAACCGGAGTGGACCGGTCTGGAAGCAGAAGGGGGCGGGGCTTGAAGTGTCTTAAAGGAACAGCGTGAAAGAGGGGTTGGTGAAGTTACAATAAGGAGGAACTCAGACCAAAGCACTGTAGTTCCACCKTATATAGACCCCAACTGAGTGATTTAATGTGGAAAAAAAGGCATTAAAAAGCATGATATGTCTTCTTCAGACTCTTCAAGCTGATGAAGAAGTTGAAAACCTGAACCATGTCGCTCTGCTTGCCGCTGTTGGCCACAAACACCAATGCATCAGGGAAACAGCACTGCTCAGGAGTAAAAGGATTAACACAACAGTGAGTAATCGCAACCTCACATCTGAGTCAAGGAGAGTTCAGCACTTTACCTGTTTGTGCTTTTAAGCCAACTGACACAGACTTGTGCAACACGTTACACCAAACCTGAACCAAAGAAATACATCTTCTATACAGCTGCATCAGCCTTACGTTGGTGTGATTATTGGTTCAGGACTGTTCCTGCTCAATTTTCCGTATAAACAAAGTGACTTTTTTATTTTATTTTAGGCTCATGTCATCAGTTCACACGTGCTTAAGGCACATGAGATTAACAGATCTGTGCAGCTGCTGCAGTATTGCGGTTTGTTGTAGTGAAAAGAGAGCTCTTTGTTTACCGGTTGGTCTACATTATTAGTCATTAACTCTGRGTAGCTGGTCTTAGAGATAAGGTGAAATATTCAGTTATTAATGAGAAACTCAGCAGACTCAGAGTACAGCCGCTGCTCCTCCACAACGAGCGGAGCCAGTYGAGGCGGTTCAGGCATCTGGTAAAAAGACCTCAGGGAGAACCCGGGCCTGGGAACACTTCGAAATACTCCCCAACAAGCAGGAAACAGGTTGCAGTGGAAACAGATGTCTTTATTTATTTACCTAMTGTTATTTAACCAGATAAGTCCCGYTGAGATCTCRGATCTCTTTTTTTCAAGGGAGGCTTGGGCCTGAAGGTCTGGACTTCCCTGTTAGATATTTGGGGCTTGATTAAGCAAATTTTTGATACRCATTTATATTTTATACTYTGTGATCGAACAGTAGGAGAATCAAAAAGTCTATATTTAGTTTTAGTGTTCATTTCTATAACTTAGTTCCTTGTTTACTATGACATCATATCCAAGGTGTGACCAGGTTTTCTATAAAAATTAATTGTAAGAACACGTGATCTGAGGCCATTTTCCGGAGTCTCCAAAGTGAGGGAGGGGGATTTGGGGGAAATGGACCAGATATGAGTTGTGTGGTAAACTTTGCATGTTTGTACACAAATATTCAAGTCTGAGTATTGAATCGATCTCCTGCGCCTTGGTCTCTCATTTCACCAGGATCTTTCAGATGGATGCATGGACGAATGAACAGGTAAAAAAAATTAGCATATTGTATGATGTTGGCTACTTTTCCATCACCATCTCCACTCTGTGCAAGTGTTGCAAGACTGATGAAAATTTAAAAAAAACCTATTTAAAAGAATGCACGCAGTGTCGACGCAAAAACAGTACTTACGCCTGTTGTCGTAGATCGTTGAGGAAGCTGTCGATGGARTCTTGTGAAAGGTCAGCGTCTCTGCGAGCCAAATAGGTGTAAAGTCTGACAAAAGTATCGAACGGGATCCTGGCAGGACCACCTTCCTCGTCGTCCGTCAGGATCTCGCAGGCGAACTTTAGAGATGTCAAAAGGGTCTGCATTCAGAGAACCACACAAAAGGAGTTTTATACAGAAAACTACACACATTTAAAACACACACTTACTGTAAATGTATGTACAGCAGACGGGATAAGTAGAAGYAGATCAAGGCTGCCCTCGTGTGGTTAAATGGTTCAGAGCACCTTTTTATCAAAAAACTTTCCACACAGTCATTGACTAACTCTTCACTGCATTTTTTTCAGACACTAAGAGTTCTATTAAGAGATTTTTCAAGGTTAAAGCAAATTCTGTTTGAATGGACTCCTGCMGTCTAATTTATTGTTGAAAAAACCTTGCCCTCGAGTGCACTGCAAAAAAATCCACAAAACAGCAAGAGAGGGWTATATGCAATTACTCTTTCAGGAGCCTGAAGACCCCAACAGAGAAGTCTGAAGAAAAAGCCATCTGGATCTAGTTTGCACCTCAGGAGGGCAGAATAAATGCAGTATGAAGTTCTCCGGCTGTGTCTGGCCTTTACATGAAGAAGGGTTGTTTAGGATTTATATCCGACCACGTGGAACATCTCACCCCTCCTAAATCACCGCAGCCCACGGCAAAAAACTCCATCCAGTCGATTTCGGTGCCAAAGCTGCCCACCAACAGCAGGGTCTCCAGCTGCTCCGCGGGAAGACCCTGACCCTTCCATTTGTCCTGCAGCTCCTCCCTGCTGCACGTTTGCATTGGGGAAAGCTGTGATTTGTGGAGGAAAGAAGAGATTCGAAGGTAAAATCTGGCCTTATACTGGAACGCAGTTTTTTTTTACTTGCAACTTGACAATATTTGCATYACGCTTGTTTAGAAAATCTGCTCACTTGCTGGTGGAGGATTTTCAGCAGACCTGGAGTCAGTCCAGAATCAGTTTGTGTGACATTTTTCTCTTTGACAGTGAGACTTTCTCCTTTAGCCAAAGCGTGGAAATACCTGCGGCACGACACAATTACAGTGTAAGCACATGGATGTCATTAATTACTGTTCTAAACCTTTATTTAAAACTATTTTGTGAGCTGTATGATATGCTGCTGTTTTGTGGAAAGGTTACAGGCTGCTTTATATTAACAATTGTTTACTAAAAAAAACACAGGGCTACATGTCACATGGTTTTTTTAAGTCTAAAAACACAAAGAAGRGATTACTACAACAGCAAACATTATAACAGTGCTTTGAGGTATAAAATATTATGTGCTTTTCAGTTTAATTAGTATTTTCAATATTTTTTTCTGTTAGGTATCAGATGGTTTAACCACAGCAATGGCATGCAAGCCTCTGGGATCTAATTACAGTCAGTCAATGCAAAAAAGAAAATTATCCACATGTGGAAGGAGGCTGCTTCTTCATCCACTGATTTACCCTGGAGACACTACTGTGGTAGCCATTATTTAAAAAAAATAAAGATTATAAAATAACACAATAAATGTGTTCCTATTGTCCACCTGAAGGATCACTGGCAAACAATTAGGACTTACGCTGAACTCCACGCCAGCAAATCGCAGGGCTGTGCTCGGATGGCCGCCTTGGTGAAATGTTTCAGGATGTCTGGCAGCTCAGGRGGAATGATGATCTGCTCGGAACAGTACAGGGTGTCTGGAAGCGGCATGGCTGTTGTACAGTATAGCCTACACATGCAGCAAAACAGACCAGTTAAACAATATACAGAAGATCAAAGGTGAAAATAAAAGATGAATTATRCTTCWTTTAATTTTAATGATTATGTCCTGCTGGAGTGTGACATGATGTGTTTGTGTACAAATTAATACGGTATCAAAATTTTATATATTTATACTTCTCATTCAACCATAATTAAATTCATATGGACRGTATTTATTTTTTACAATAACAAGCTGGAATGAAAACAAGCAAAAATGAAGTAACAACTTTCTATTTCTTGCCTTTTTAAAAACGTAAATAGAAAGTACAGATAACTGCGTGAAAATGTAAGTAGAAGTAAAAAGTAGGCTGAAAAATAATTACTCAARTAAAGTACAGATACCTAAAAATTCTACTTAAGTACACTAACAAAGTATTTGTACTTASTTACAACTCTGAAACACTCMAAATACATTAGGTCTACATTGTGCCAAACTACTACAACAAAAAGCTAAAATTAAACATATTCTGACACCACTACCATCAAATAATATTTCAGTATGAAAGCAAAATAGAATTAAAACGCGCCTTTTTAATTTATTTTTTAACTAGGTCCAGTTGTTCAGGAAGCAAACATAGCTAACTCTGTTAATGTTATTAAATCAAGACTGTACCTTTTATACGTTCTGAAGAATGTAGACTTTGAAAATACAGAAAATGGTCGAAAGTGCTACGTTGAGAACCACACATCAATCGCAAATTTCTGTTTGTTGTTTCTTAGCAACCAGTACCGGAAGCAGCGTTCTTCTTCTTCTTCGGTTTGTGGTGAAGCGAAGCTCTTCAGCGAATCTATCGCCTCCACCTGGTCACGTTTGGTTACTTATTTTTACGCAGAAAAAGTTCGTTTGCTTTAAATTCAAACTAAACGCACAGTTCTTGGATTTAGAAGTTCTTTAAGTGTAATATAWATTGCTCAGTTTACTCAACCTGGCTTAGTGGAACCAGTTTGGTTCAGTAAATTCAATAGTTTATTTATTAGAGAGTTTGTAAAAGTAATTTTACTTTCCCAATTTTTGTGAACAGTTTTATGAATTTTGTTTGAGTAGTTTTCTCATCAGTGAAATTGATTTTTACCAGTCATTTTCTGATCATGTAATTTTACTTTTACTTAGTTAATTTTTTTTCATGTGTTTTAAAAGTGCTTTTACTTTCACAATTTTTATGAACAGTTATATGACTTTTACTTAAGTATTTTTCTCATCAGTGAAATTGATTTTTACCAGTCATTTTCTGATCATGTAATTTTATTTTTACTTAGTTAATTTTTTTTTCAAGTACTTTATAGACCTCTGCATATGATCACAGATGTATGAGGCTATTTTCTTTTTATGGTCATTTTTCAAAGCATGAAATTCCTCTAAAATCATCCAAATATTAGTTAATATCTATTAAAAAAAAACTAATAAACTATATTAACTAAACTGTGGTGTACAAATCCAGAAAAACAACAACAGTAACAAAAATCTTTCTGTGCCAAGACATTTTTAATAACCTGATACAATAAACAGACCCATGAACAGGCACACAACATTTTTTTTACTAAACAGCATCTTGAAAATACCGAGCTCACAAGGTGTGATTAGAAAAACAACAACACAGCTATAAGTATTTGGTAACCAAAGTGACATGAATAATAAAAAGAATAATYTTGAAAACTCATCCAATGCTCAAAAAAACAAACAAAATAATTGCATGATAGACAGCCACATATACACATTCACACGTTCACTATCAGGTCACATACACTGGATAGTGCAAATTTATTTGAGAACATGTAGAAACTGAGCAAACGCTTGTGAAATGTTGTTAAATTCAACACATATAGTGGAGCCTTGGAATTCAAAGCACAGTGTTTTCTTTCCCAAGTTCTTACATTATAGTGGTGCACAAGCATGAACACATCATGTCCAAAAGAAACCATTAAMCAACAGAAATGGACATTAGTCTGTAATGACTTCAGTCCAACACATTTTGTGGACTTGACAATAGAAAATCCCAAGATGTTAGTCTTATACTCATCCTGAATCTCAACTCTTTTACTACKTAATACAAAAATAAAAATTGTGCTTCCCTAAAACCCCTCCCTGGACAGTTTTTTTCTTAAACCCTCGGTCTACAATCAGATAATCCTCCACAAAGACACTTTCAGACAGACACGCCACTGTTTCCAAACATTATTTCTTCAGCTTACTCTCCTTATTTTAGTTTTCTCTGAAAAAGACTTGGGCAGAGACATTTTTGAGAAGCTTTAAAGTTTGCTGATTGAGAGACTTTGTCAGACATTTCAAGACTCAAAAGCAGGTTCATATTGTACAACATTCAGACTAAAAACGATATCTAAAAAAAAGGATAAGTGAACAAAACCATTTGTAACCGAACCTGCTGGGCTTTTGTCTGGCATTCTCTTAAGTACTTTCACACAAACGAAGACGGTGAGTAGAAAACTGTTTGATTTAATGTGAAATTTAAAAAACGAGTTCCATTTTTCTTTGTAAGTGACCGGTTCTGACTTGAGTTCACCTTTTGAAGGATWAAGGTGGTATCTCACTAGGCTGCAACGGCTGGTGACTGGATGGCCAACAGCTTTTATAAGAGTCTCCCCCTCTGACAGAAAACATGCTCTAGTCTTAAAGTGTCTGTGACATCAAATTTTTGTAATAAACGTGGATGCATTTTTGGAAAGAGAACATTGATAACCTATTGCAAAAACAAATTTCATAACGTTAAGATGAACATTTGTTGAGATATTTGCATGTGAAGAAACAGGAAGTGATGTCAAAGGGGAAAATCTGCATGTAAACAGAGCGATGCTACAATAATTAGAGACTAATCTGATTATTTAGTCACTATCAGTGAGATGAAGAGTTTAAATAAGATTGCTTCAATAAACAAAGTCTAGAGAGATTCTTTTCTTAAGAGTTCCCCTTTGATGTCACTTCCTGTTTCACTTTGCTGAGCCAAATTCAAGAGAAAATAGGCCAGTTATGAGACAAAATGGGTAAAATCATGTGTATCATGCTAATTTTCTTAAATATAAATATGTTTTCTTTGACTTTTTGTATTTGAAGGATACAAAAAAACTGCAGGGCAATAATTATTAAAAAAAAATTACTGGTCAAAATCTGCCTCTTCGTTTCAAAAGTGTACTCCACTAGATCAGCAGAGGCCAATTTGGGTACAAAACAGACCACTGTGGGCAATAAATCAATATGCACGGCCTACAATACATCAAGACCTGCAAAGCGTGGCCTCGTGGTCACTTTGCTGCAAACACAAAATCAGTGACTGCATCTGAAAACTTTCAGATTTTCTCACATCGAGTCAGTTTTAAATGGTCAGCTCGGCTCCAGCGTCACAAACCAGTGAGATACCACCTGAACTAAGACTTGATAAGAAGTCTTCATCTTATAGGACACTTCCATTTCCTGTTCACGTCAAAGTAACTGAGCATAAACAACAAGTCTAGCTGCATTACTAAAATCCAATGTAAAAAAAAAAAACTGAATAAATGTTTAATGTAGACTTCTGACATAAACATAACGCATAATGATCAATAGCATTTTTTCCCCCTAAGTTGAGTTTGCATAAAAAATGAAAATAATTTCAAATAGTCAACATAGTTATTTTGTTTCATCATAGATCCAACCTCAGCTCTGGCATCTTTTTTTTTTTTAAACTCACACTTATTGTTCTGTGTTTGGGTGATAAATCATTTTAACACTTCTTCTAAGCTCTTTTGCAAAGCCTGGCCTTACTTGCTACAAGCGCCTAGCCGGTCAGCTGCTGTGTCCCACCTTTCCTGTCTTTCCCCCACCCCCATTTCTATCTCTTGCCCCTTTTATTACCAGCAGGGGGCTTCTTCAGCTGGAGAAGAGGTGCTCCGGTAGCAAAGCCAGCCGTCGGTTGGTTGGACACACCAAAGGTCAGGCCTGCGGACTGGTTGATGCCGGGGTTGCTAAAGTTAAAGCCAGAGCTGCTGCTGCTGCCGCCGAAACCTAGAGAAGAAAAGCAAAATGAAAAGTTAAACCGATGAAAAAAAAAAAGTTTTTAGAGATAAATGCAGGGTAAGCAGACTGAGCACAGATGTGATATTAATGTTGCTCAACAATCTTGCTTAAAGATATATGTAGCTGTTAGTACCTGCGCTTAAACTGCCTCCTGTGGGCTTACTGGTGGAGAAGCCGAAAGAAGAACCCCCCGTGCCCACCCCAACAAATCCTGGCCCACCACCAAAACCTGTGCAAGAGAGCGACACGGAAGTCAGACTGAGCTACAGACTGCACKGAGAACACGGGGGAGCAGGGGTTCAGGGGGGGGCGCGCAGGCAGGCACGAGCAAGCAAAAACACCGAAAAACCGGAATGTATACAGCTTTAGCTTCGAATGAGAAATCAGAGCAAAGCAAAAGGCCGAAAGGGAGGAAAGAGGCAAAAGCACCACCAAAGAAACACACCGACACTGTGCGCTCAAACCACCTGCTGCCGACCCAAATTGAATTTGTGACCAACTCGTACAGGTTTCAGCCAAATTCCTCCTCTCCAAGTTGATTTATGTCATCCAGGACTTTGGTGTGAGTGCACTTTACCACGCGTATGAAAGAATGGAAAGAGAATACGGCGCCATTCATCTTCACACTCATTTACAAGCAATCTACGGTTACACAAGCTAACAACCCTAAAAAAAAAAGCTGCCCGAGATTTTAAATAAAAGCAAACTATGCAAGGAAAATATTTTTAAAAAATGGTTATTAAAAAAATAAATAAAGAATAACCATGACAAGAGGCAGAGGCAGTACCTCCCAGGGTAGAAGTGCCCAAGCTAYTGCCTGCAAAGGGGTTTCCAAACCCTGCCCCCAAGGGCGCCTGGGTCCCTAAGGCACAAAGAAAGCACGTTTTACTATTGTTTTTCCACATCTATCTCAATAAAATACTTCAAAATGTTTATTTTTTATATAAAAATGAATTCTGTCATTTAATGTATACATTGCATTTTACATTAACACCAAAATGTAGCAGCATGAAGACTATTTTAAATATTTTAACATTAGCTACCTTTAAATAGGGAACACATTATACACCAGCTGTTTACAGCATAGGTACTTCAAAAGTTTTAAAAATAGATTTTAAGCCATCAGCTATTAGGCTGATTACAATTGGAGGAATTTTTGCTAGTTCTTTCACTCAGAAACTTGTCTATTTTTATTCTCATCTATGCAGTTCTTTATATAATCTGATCAGATTTGGGAAAAGTCTAATTACTCATTCATATTCGGTCGAAAGAAATCAGGACAAATGTTTCTTTGTTTAAAAACTGATTTATTGTCAACTTATTTGCACTTACATAAAACACAAAGAACAGATTTGGCTGTAATTGGCTAAACTGCTACTGCATTCGACAAGTTTCCAAATGTTCAAGCTTTCTGAGAATGAATTAGCAAAGCCTCCCCATCTAAGCTCTTCAAACAAATKCACGTACCTGTATTGTATATAGCTTCAAAAGGCACACCATAATATATATATTTATATATAAATGTACTGCATCAACAGGCTTTGAATATATACAGTAAAACACACTGTGAAAGCACTCAAAATTTCAGAAATGAAAAAAAAGGGGGGGATTAGTAATTATGATTATGTTTCAGTGTAACTTTGTCATACAAAAAAGAAACACTATATAAAACAGAAGCTTGTCTAAACAACTTTCACCAGTGTATTAGTTATATTGACAGCTACTGTATTGGTGGTGGAAGGTATTTTATAAAAATCGACCAATGTTTACAGGGTCTAACTTTTGTCGGATCAGGCGTGACTTAACTGAGCTTAGTGGCAAGCATCCTGGGATTCTTTAGACTCAATATCACATTGCTTGTGCCAAAATTTATCAAAAAAAAAAAAAAAAGCCAAACACAAAAACTCATGTAAAAAGGCAACAAAATACAAAGAACAATAAAAACAGGTTCAAAAATAAGGGTCAACATTCAAAACAGTCTGTTACAGCCAATCGCATTTTTGAGTTTTGTTGCAAACATGAACAAAAGGAATTACCTGAACACCACATGTGAATCGTGACTCTTATATTAACCCAGTGACTTAAGAAATGTGGACACATTTGTGCCCATTGTAAAAATGATAACAATAAAAGTCACATTTATTCCTTCACTTTGTAAAAAAACAGAGGTATATGGGATTGCTCCTACTGTTCTGGTGGCATTCAAGAATAATACAGCATTTACATACCACTAGTACATAGAATAATAATACGTTGTAAGGCTGACCGACCAATGCACTTTTAAGTGTTACTGTGCCCAGTGTGACTGCAGAAATGTGGAAGACAATGTTAGAGGTCAAAGAAAACTGAACAAAAAGGTGAAAATTCTAGACAAGAGATTTGTTAGATTCCTGTCTGACCCAAAACTAAGTGGAAATCCTAAAAAATGACTAGTGTTTTTAACAAAGGAATGAGATGTCCATAGCAGAGGGATTTTTTCTTCATATAGAGTAATTTCAGTCTTAGAGAATGAACTAAGCTGGGCCCACCAATAACCACAAAAACCAACAGCAATACTAACACTTTTCTGTTCATAAGCTTAGAGAAATCACTATTTTAATCACTAATCTGAGTGTTATCTCTATAAGAAACAGTCTGTCCTCGCATTCCAAAACAGTTTGGATTCCTCCCACAAGGCCTGYTCCATTTGGCACCAATGGATCCAACATGTGGACCAGTATGATCAACAAAACCTGTCTTCTTCAAAACTATTACGAAATTGTTCAACAGACTCAGAATCAGATCAGCACAAGATTTTCCACAAAAAAATTAAAATTAAAATTTAAATGTATCCTAGTCCACTGAGAGTACTATATCATTTAAAAAACTACATAAAATTATAACTTGTGAAGAGCACTTTTATTCTACAGTCACTAAAAGGAACTGAGTGTAAAACAAACTGTCACTGTCATACCAACAGTAGCCCTTAGGAGAAATAGCTTTCATGAAGTAACAGTGGCATGGCCTTGTTGCGAGAGGACCAAAACACTGAGATGGAGGTCAAAACTTTGTTCACATTCAATGATGCACAGTACTGTGCAAAAGCTTTTAACCACCAMCAACTTTTCTTTTTACTTTGTTTTTGAAAAGACAAACTTTAGGTGGTCTTTTAAAATGGTATTGATCAATGGCTTTCTTTCTTTCTTTGTTGGATTTCGCTTTTCACTCATTTTCYGTCAAATCCATGTACCAGAACGAGACAGTGTAGAGCGGTTAGGACAAAGTGTCAGGCCTAAAACACCATCTTGCAGCATTTGTAAATGATGTCTTGGAGAAACAGAGGAAAAATGTCTAGCAAAGACCAGAGAAGATCTGAAAGTTGCATCATCCTTCAGTTGATCATCTACTCCCASTGGTACCCAAACTTTTGTATGCTAGTACAAATCTTTTGTTGATCTGTTTGAGATCAGGCTTGTGATARACTTGCAACTTGTCCAGGCTGTACCCCATYTCTGTAACAGTGAACCCCTACGACCCAGAAAAGAATGGATGCCACATAACGGATAGATGTTTGAGAACATCTCAGGACATCCAAATTAGCATTTTTTGGCCTTGAATCCAACTTTGGGAACATCAGGTCGTTTGTGTCACATGCTTTCGGACAATTTTTTATGAACCACCTTATTCATCCTAAACGTTAAACTGTTGTTTGTCAAACTGCTAACTTAAGTAAAATTATGGATTTAACTAAAGAAATGGAAACAAGTTGTGCGCCAAGATAGTAGAAGAGGGACTAAAGATTGAATTTAAACTGTTTTTCAGTAAGTTGTATGTTAATGTGTTGAAGAAACACTGGTTCATTCCTTGAGTTTGAGTCTTTTTACAGTTAAATCACTCATCGATCAGATTTAAGTGGATTAACAAAGAAAAAAAAATCTGAAAATGGTCAGATTGAAAATGAGTGAAAAGCAGCCAAAATCCACCAAAAAAACTTTGAAAGCCCAAAGAACTACTGATTGTGACGTATTAAAGAGTACAAGAAAGTCTRGATTCTTGGAAGTAAACTAAAAATAAGAGGACTTGAAGACTTTTTCACAGTACTATACTTATAAATACACCCCCCCACCCCCAAAAAAAAAAAATTAAGTTCAGCTGTATGATCACAACATTACTTCACCACATAGCTTCAATTAGATCTGCAATATGTGATCAGGTTCTTCAAGTTTAAACACGATTTCTATTTTTCAGTCCTGAGTCTTTTGGCACATTTCATTTTCTGTCTAGAGAAGTTCAAACAATGCCAGGTCAACTAACCACTGGAGAAGTGTCAGCCAGCTGCCCGTTTAGTGTTTTATCTGCTTTAACACTGGCAATAATACTCCAATTAATTGTTTCAGGCCAGCAAATGGTCAAGCACAATTAAAATAAATAAGTAAATAAATACATCTTGTGATTGTGCGTAGTCAATCAATGAAGTGTGTCACTTTTTAAAGACTATAACAATAATGATGGCATTCCTGCTAAATTGTATAAATGATTTCACACAGAATAAAAGTTGCCATGAGTTAAAAWTAGTTTGTTAAAACTGCAACTGGATGGCAAATACAGCCACAATTAAAACAAATGAGCAAAAATAATCATACTGAATTGGTTTGATAAGAAAAAAATTGAATTTAACAACAAATCTATCTGAAGCAGGCACTTTTACCACACAAGTTAATCATACCTTTAGCTGTAGTTACACGACTTACTTGTGAAGTGTTTTTATGTGTTAATAATGACAAAGTAATGGATCCTTTGGCACTAAATACAATAAATCGAATGATTATACAAAAACTGTCATGTGTCCAGCTTTATGAGCAAAGATGAAAGCTTTTTCACAGATTTTCCCTAACCAAAAGCCACACTCACTGTAAGATTTAATTTGATAACAGTCTGAGCACATTTAAAGAAATCTTTGTGAAAAGCAGCAGAAACATGTAAATAAAACTAGGTTTGATTTGAGTTTGTCAAGTTACAGCTGTTAAACTTCACCTTTACAATCCTGTCCAGTTCAAATATTGCTTTAAAACATTTCAATTAAGATTTTACGTCTTAAGTCTGAGAATGAAAAGAGAGAGATTAACCAGATAGACCAATTACCAAAGCACAAACAACCCCCCAAAAATATCCACTGCCAGGTTTTAATCCATTTAAAACTGTAATAAATCTGAATTTTTAATTAACATATTAAAAAGTCGGGCTTTGTTAATAAGAAAATTTTGAATAAAACTGCAATTATTTGCCTTTCAAACAAGCAATTTTAGCAAACATTACACTTTGAGTCCAGTTGTTTTCCAGCTCAAATTCAAGTTGATTTAATTATTTACAACAATTATTAAGAGCGAGGTTTCTCTAAATCGTGTTTTGACCTTGAACAAGCTGTGTGCTTCAAATATTGGTAAATACAAAGTTCTGGTTTTGAATATGAAGTAAGCTCATTTGAACTCTGACAGACTTGAATGTCCAACCAAGAAAAAAATACATTCTGGTAAGTTTGTCTTAGATACCATCCTCCCTCCCCAATTACATGAAAAACCTACAGTTTGGAAAAATATTTGTACTGATCAGAGTATGTTTGATAACTACATCTAAATCACAGCAAACGTCTTTGAACTCCAACGCCACCAAGTGATAACATTCAAAACAGAAAGCATAGAAAACCTACCGCCATATACATGTTTTGAATAATCCTGTCTGGCACTCTTTCAGCATTTTTGCTACCAAAATGCCACACAGTTAAAACAATCATTCTGTCCTTTTCACAACATCGTTTGAAATAAAACTCTCCTTTTCCTTATTTAGTATCATGAATAGGGCCAGGAGGAGGAGGAGGAAGAGAACTTTCTAGAACTTGAAGGCAGTCAGACCTGGAGTTGGCTGCTGTTGTTGCGTCAACGTGGCTGCCATTGCAACAGCTGCTGCGTTGGGTACGCTGGAGAACGGGGCGGGCCCGGTCGTGACCCGCGGCGCGCTCTGCCACTTCCTGTCAGACGCCCGTTTGGACTCGAAGATGTCTGTGGAGTCTTCCAGGAAGGCTCGGCGGTAGGAAAGGTACTGGTGCTTCAAAATCTGTTGTGGAAGTCATTAGAAAGATGCAGAGGAGGACATGAAGGACAAAGGAAAGACAATTGAAAAATCACTGATTAAGCATGAAAATCTGGGGAAAAGTACATTTTGTAAAATAAAACAAAGTCCATGAAATGCTTCTTGTCCAGGACTTGATTAAAATATCATTTTTAAACAATGCATGAAGTGGAAAAAAACTGACCTTTACATTCTCATGAACAGATTGAAGCTGAGCAGCCTGTGCAACAAATGTCTGGTATAATTTCTGCATGGCTAGAGTGAGATCTGGAAAATAAAAACACACAGTCGGTTAGAATGTTTGAAATGCATTAAAAAACTGAAGCTAAAAGAAAAAAAGGACTTATTAGAAAAAATAGCCACTAAAACAAATAAATCTCACTATTTTTAAACTCAATGGGCCTCATGCAAGAACCGTTCGTACGCACAGATTTGTTCTTAAGTTGTGCGTACGAGTGATTTAGGAGAATTTGTAACATTCACCAATGTTTTCGTATTCTAAGATTTTTTTCAGATACGAACAAAATTCACGAGTGGTCCAGACCTGTCGTATATTTTACGAGCAGTCAGTCTGCTGTTATCCAGATGGATTTTCTTCACTAATAACTTTATATTTCGTTAGTTTGAAGATATTTTGAGTTGAAAATAAATTACACTCCATAACTATGTTGACAATAGGCTATTCTGCTTGAATTAGAGTTATAATTTTAAATGTAATAATTTAGACTAACAATATAAATTGTCCGTTCGTCCGTTTTCTGCCGCTTATCCAGGATCGGGTGCGGGGCCAGAGCAGAGAGACCCCGCTCTCCCCAGCGACACCTTCCAGCTCATCCTGGGGGACTCCGAGACGTTCCCAGGCCAGAGGGGATACATAATCCCTCCAGTGAGTCCTGGGTTTTCTCCACAGTGCCAGACATATTTTGAAAACATTTTAAAATGCTTATTTCGAACCCGCATCTGAGACCACCTGCGACCGCGCGGGGGGTGGGGTACGGCGCGCAGCGCTGTGTTTTCTGAATAAATGAAAATGATTTAACACAGTTGTTTATACTTTTAGCAGCTCTTTTTATTCCACAGCTGACCTGCTAAAAATGACAGATTTTCTTTTCTGGATCTCTGACAGACGGACTTCAATCTCTGAACTCGTAAAAAGTTTTTTAATTATCGCGGTCATTTTCATGAATGGACACTTCCTTGTATGTGGGGCAGGAAACATAGCCTTATATGGTGTTTTTGGGGTGGTAATTATGCTAATCTCCTCTCGCGTACACGAGCAGCTGGAATTTACGCAGCTCATTTACACACTTTTCCTGAAGATAGAAGAGTTTGTTGAATCTGACGTGACATGTTCGTACTAACCCTTCGTACGAACAAAAGTAAGAGAAATTTAGGATAAGGATACGAACATGTTCTTGCATGAAGCTCATTGTCATTTTTAGCTGCACCGTATTGCAATCATTAGTTTTCATGTTAAGCTAAAATATACAGATTAGGGCTGGGTATCACGGCCATCTCTAGATCGATTCGATTTCGATTCATAAGGTTCTGAATCCATTAACAGGGTTCCTACAGCTCAAGGCAAGTAAAATTTAAGACTTTTAAAGACTTAATTAATGTCATTTGAAATGAAATTTAAGACCGACTTCACAATGCACACAAATGAAAAAAACCCAGTTAGCAACAATTTTAGCCAAACATTTATTTTTAAACAAAACGAACTGTAAGAGGCATTCGTTCAATTATTTAAAAAACAAATAAACGTTATCAATTATTGTAATATTTGAGATGAACTAGTCATCCTATGTGCAACGTGTTAACATTTTTAAGACCTTTGAAAGATTGATTTAAGATCTTTTAAGGTTAATTAAGGCCTTATTTTTGGATTGATAAATTCAATGCCTTTTAAAACTTTAAGAATTCACAGGAACCCTGATTAATCACGATYCGATCTGCTCTACTCTTAAATAATAAAAATGGTTCAATTGTGTTGTAAAATACAATATCACTCTTTTTTCTCCGCACCATAAGAACAAACCTTTATATTAAACAGTTTAATCTTGAAAGAAATCTGTCCAAAGCTTAAAAGATTTTGAGGTAAAAAGGAATTACAGGTGACAGTGCTGTTGGAGGAATTCATTTTTAAGAAATTATTAATTTTCTTAATAAGAAGTGATGTAATAAGGTTGCAGGAGAAGAGGTGGTCTAATATAAATATACTTCTGCCCACTCTGAGTGAACGAAAACTGTATATTTGTAATGTTTGTTAGCTTCTGTTATGTTCAGTATAACTTATTAAAACTTATACCTTATTAAAACAAATGATACATTTCACGTCGTTAAGACGTTTCTTAAAGTTTAAAAATAATATTGGTAACAAAGCTAAACAATTTTATTAGAATATTGTCTTAAACATGCTGTGGAGAATACTTTCAGTCAGAAGTTTACATACAGTTTGGTTTGAGCGCCTAACGAGCTGCTCGTCAGAGCTTCGTTTTCTCTACCATGTAGAAGCACAAATCTTTGCAAACCAAAGTCCCCATGGTCTCTGTTAGCTTTAAGTTCTGCTGAGAATCGGCTGATAACGTTAGTGATTCCTTAGTTTCTTTTGTTTTGCTCCAGACAACTTGTTATTGAAAGCTAATGTTATCACTGAACGTCAACTGGATGTAAACATACGGCAAGCCAGGAAAGACAAAATATAGAACTGCGTTTCAGACGTGCGCACATAAGACGCCATGGGGAAGAATTGATCTCATGCCTGGTGAACCGATTTCCCCAAATTTAAATGAAATCGATCCAAGATCGATTAAATAGATTTTTTTTTACCCAGCCCAAACACAGATTAATTAGAAATGTGGTCAAATCTGACAAACACACGCTTACCCTGAGGGGTGATGTGTGAGCYGCTGCTCTGCGTCGTCAAGTGATTCTCCAGCTCTTCTATCTGCTGCCTGTACTGCTGCAGCTGCACCTCGAATTGATCCACCAAGCTGCGAAAATAACTAATCAGACAAACACAAAAGAATAAAACCTGTTATTCCAAATTAAATATCAGCTGAAAGTTGGAGGACGACAAAAACAGCCTGTGGCTTCATGACAAAAAATTTTATTGTATTTAATAGTCTATGGCTCCAGATAAAAAAAAAAAAAAAAAAAAAAAAAGAGGCCAAGAAATATGGCATTATTTAAAAAGTAGGGATGCACAATATATCGGCATTAAAATCGGTATTGGCTGATATTGGTCATTTTTAGATTATCGTTATCGGCCCGATTTATAAAACGAAGCTGATATTAATGTCCCATATTGATTTTCCATTCTTTAGCTTTGCGTTTTTGTTTTGGTAGGCAAAGTGTTTGGTCGAGTGGTATCTGTTTGATGGTGATAGTGATACTGACGCTGCGCAGCCAGGAATAACTGAAGTAGAGAGCCATGTCAGAGGTCCGGTCGTTTATTTACGATATCAAAAAAAGATCCAGGTGTGTTTGTGTGTATATGTATAATATAAATTGTGTGTTTGTTTAAAGAGAAACTTACCCCAAAATTAACTTTTTTTTAGCTGATAAACTGTCTAGAATGTGTCTAAAATGTTATATAGTACTGTTTCTGTGCTAATTTTGATGCTTTTGTGCGTATTTGTTCAAATCTGTAAYATTTGGTCTAAAAACGTSTTTTTGCTGCTCATATGGGTAGAGCAGTGGTACTGCAGGCTAATTTGCATATTGGTTAACGGCTCTCCACGGTGACGTGTCTTCTCCACGGTTTCGTCACAGCGGCTGTGTTCTGGTATAAAAGCCTCTCTCTAAGACACGCCCCTGCAGCAGTCAGAGGGTGGAACAGTTAGCAAGCTTAGCATGATTGTCTGTTGACCTTCAGCCTCAGGTGGGGAGAGCTGACTGCTGCGTTGCTCTCTCTTCACACACACACACACACACACACAGCGGGAGGGGAGGAGGGAAAAAAGGCAGAAAGACAGTGGAGCAGCTGCAGCCCTAATGGACCGAACTTCAGTCAACCAAGACCAAACACTTTTATTCCTGATTTAAACTAGCATCTTGTGAGCAGCTGCCGCTGTATGCTTTTTATTTTTTTATGTCAGGCTGTCGCGGAGCGCTCCACTCCTCTGTCCGAGACTGGTGCAGTGTGAGGCGGACAGCTCAGCTGAGGCTGTTACGTTCTCTCGTCCTGGCCACACCTCCGCTCTCTAACCCACCCTCCCCTACCCACACCCCCTCCACTACCCACTTTGATGCATTTTTCAAATTTCGCCTTGGGGTGGAGTTATCTTTTCACGGGGGGGGGTTACACTTCAATATTTGTAAATATCGTTTATCAGCCACAACACCAATAACAATATCGGATATCGGCTGAAATTTTCACATCGGTGCATCCCCATTAAAAAAATAAAATAAAAATACTGACAGACCAGCTTCAAAGCAGTTTTTCATAGTTGCTTTTGATTTGCTAAAACTGTTGGACATTAACTCAAGCTTACTCTGATGGAGCTGTGTTTTCATGCTGAAGTCCAGGAGGGGTCTTCTGAGTGCGCAGAGCAATGTCAGCATTTTTCAGCTCCTTAAAAACAATGAAAAATAATATTCACCTCAACCTAAATATTAGACAGCATGTGTTGACTTTACAACATGCATTATTTCACTTTTGTACCTGCGCAGTCTCGAACTTCAGCTTGTCTATGGCCAGAGCCTGGCGCTGCAGAGCGCTGGCGCACACAGACAGGAGCTGCTTGAGGCTTTTGATGTCATCTTGGACTTTTGAAATTGCCTTTGATGACATCCTGCTGATGTCCTCCTGAACCTGCTTCTGCTCTTTTACAAATTTTCTGCAAAAAAAAAAAAAAACAAAGCAAGAAGCTAAATAATAGAAAGTTCTTTGCAGTTGACATTAACAAGTGTAGTAACAAATGTGCATCAAACACTTACTGAAAGTTTTCAACATCTTGGCAAATGCATGGGGGCAAGTTCTCATCTTTTAAAGCTTTACTGTCCCTGAAAGAGGGAGAAAGAATATTACTTTTACAGCACCAGCATGAAAAGAAAGATTACAGATAATAGATTGTAAAGGATGCAGAGCACAGAGTGAGATGGAGGAGGGTGACTTGCTGTGGCAACCCTTGAAAATGGAACAGCCAAAAGAAGTGGAAGATGAGAAACCACAAAGTGCACATTGCAGCTCTTAATGCTCAATTCAGATTTTTATTTTAAATGATTTTTTTTCCTTCAACATTCACATTAAATTTTAAATGCGACTTCCATCAGACTCCACTGGGAACTCTCCACAGCCCACATGCGCGGACGATGACGTGAAGTTGCAATGAACACGTCGTTTAGAAAATAAATACGGATGCTACTTGTTAGCATGTCGATTCTGAAGCTGTTGTGCAAACAGAGCCGATTAAAGCTATATGTTCCTGTCGATTCTGAGTTATCCAGGACATAAAAAAAGGCAAAGCAACTGGACTTCTGTTCTGTAGCTGAAGACGTGTGGAGTTACAAGATTTAAACTGCACAACTCGAGGTTAGCATCATTTTTACATGGAACAATCTGCTCACCCCATCTCACAGATGTTAAAGTATATATATATATATATATATATATATAATCTTGCTCTAATTATTACTATTATATTATATATATTAAATAAATACATTTTCAGATTTGTCATATTCAGACTGTCATGAAAAAAATCTGATATGGGTCGCATTGGGTAACAAAATCAGGTTTGGCATTTTGACAAATACTTATGGTTAATTTATGTTAGCAGAACGTACTGTGCATTGGTTCCGGATGATGTGGCGCTCTTGTTCTCAGAGGAGGTGCTGAAGTCGACGCCACCCAGACCGATGCTTGGAGCAGGAGCAGCCGACGCTGCTGTGGAGGTAGCCAATAGAGACCCCAAGGTTAACCCAACTCCTCCAAGAGTTGGCTGACCCAAACCTGCAAACGACAAGTAAACACAAAAGTTTGAACACTATACCAACACTGTGCAAAACTGAGAAATGAATATTAGCATCCTAACCTGTGGTTCCAGTGCTGGAAAAACAACTTAAGCCCAGTGACGGCACCGTTGAGGCTGCTGTGGAGATGGCTGTGCCGCCAAGGCCGAGGGTGAAACCCGGGGCTGCAGGCTGCTGTGGGGCTGTAGAGGTCAAGACGGAGCCAAATGTTAAGCCTGACCCTGCAGTAGAGGAGCTGGTACCGGTGGTGAGGGAGAAGGGGGTCGCTGAGGCAGTCGGCTTGTTGAAACTTAAACTAAAGCCAGTGGCAGCAGATGTAACAGCTGGGGCACCTGAAACAAATTGGATTGGAAGAAAAGGGGGGAATACTTTAATTAAAATGTTTCACATTAATACATATTAGCTCAAATGCATTAGAAACAGAAACACACCTAACGTAAGGCCAGTAGTGGGTGCAGAAGCAGCTGAAAGAGAAAAACATCCCAACATAAAAGTAAATACATGTTCAACAACAAGCTGATCATTTTAACACATTTTTTTATACATATCACAATGACAGCTCGTGGTATTTTTCTACGTGTGTGTGTTTTTATATTACTTGAAGTAATTGTATTAAAAGAAAGTCCTCCCGCAGGTTTTTGAGCGAAAAGACTGCTTCCTAGACCAATAGAGCTGGTGGTGGAAACTGGGGCAGCAGCTGCTGATCCAAGAGGAGTTCCAAAAGAAAAGCCACCGGTACTGGGAGCAGGAGCACTGCAGACAGAAAAGACAGTAACTTCAGCCACAATTATATTTCTCTTAATGTCACCAAAGACATAATATATTACAGAATATTGTAAAAGGCATGGTAGAAGAAAACTAATTACATTATAATCAGAATCAAAACCTTCAGTTTCAAAATTAATATCAAATTTATGGTTCTTCTCTAAATAAGGCCATCAGCAAATAATCAGTACTTTTACAAATTCACATTTATTCACACAAATATTCTGACAGATTTTCAACTGCTTCATCCAAGTTAAGCAGCAAACCGTAACTCACTTTTTTAACATTAGGCTATGCTAACGTTAGCCAAGTCGGCTAAAACAAGTACTACCTTGTTGCGGTTCCGAATGCGAATCCACCACCCGTGTTGGTGGAACCTAGAGTCCCCGAACCAAAGTTAAAACCAGACATTTTTCGCACAGGAGGTTCACGTCCACAATCGACAGGCTCTTTTAGACTTCAAAAGCGAAAGAAAAGCATAAACGAACTCGACGCAACATCGCACGTCAGCTAGCCTTCACGCTCGCGTGTGGGCCAAATCCGCGGTCTTTCCTTTGCTCAGAACATACTTGGACGGAAATGTGTTCGTTTTCAGATGAGTGCAGAACTATTCGACTTCAGTTTTACGAAGATTTAAAAATAATTCAATCGTTTCTCTAAGTCCAAACATCCCAATTAACGCACTTTCAGCATGGTACGACTTTTCCTATTACCCGCCTGCTATGTTATGTGCAGTGCATTTTGGGTAAACGTTTTATGAACTACATTTCCCCGCTAGCTTTGCGTCAATTGACGCTTTACGGACTCAGCATGTCTACTTCTGGTATTGCTTTCAAAATAAAACGAGTCACTAAGCTTGAACTCAGAAATCATAGTGAACCATTCCAAGTCCCTTAAAGTTTTGGATTTTTATGTCACTTTTTGTGAAAATTTTATATATTTTTGTACCTAAAACAGTACAACTTCAATAAGAATAGCTTTATTATGAAATATAGTCAAATCAAAAGACAAAGTAGACTTAGACATTTCACTTCCAAACCATTACAAACGTCTGCTACTACAAAAGACGGCTAAATATAGTGGTATGAATATATAATAACTATTTCATTAAGTGATTCTTGTTTAAACACTGTCTTTTTCTTATATCCAATAAAGTTTTATTGAAAAAAACCCAGTTCTTTTATTTTGAAAACTTCTTGTAGGATGTAACGTGATGGCAGTTAACTTTATGCAAACGAAGGAGTGAGATGATTGACAATAAACTCATATCTTACCACTGGGGCAAAAAAAGCAAAGGGGCAATTTCTGCAGTTGTGATCATTTTAATAAATGATACGGTTATCCCCAGACGGCGTCCTGTGAGTTGTTGCGGTCGCTGACGGCTGTTTTCAAGCCAGAGAAATGGAACATATCCGAACGCCGAAGGTTAGCTAACATTTCTTCTTGCTACATTTGTTTTTGCAAACGGATAGGGTGCATTCGGCAACTCGGCCCTGGTTATTTTTTTTAAGTATTTTTTTGTTGAGTTTTAACGGTGTTACGCTTTATTGTGTTACTATTTGCCTGAATGAGAAGTAATCGATCTAGTATCGTGATGGTTAGCAGGTGTCACCAGCTGCCTAAAACTGTCAGCCGTGACGAGCATCAATGAGCGGTTTTATTTCGCTAAAGTAAACAGATATAAAAAGGCTTTCACTCAACTCCTACTGCGTTCACGCCCTGATTATCCATTATGTTACATTACGCTGCCAAACCACTCAATGAATTCCTAATAGAAAGCCATAAGGAGAAATCAAGCTTCATATGAATCAATGAGACATGGGCCTATCAAACACAGAGCTATACCAGAAGTGATCTGAAGTCAGTGTGAAGATTATATTTACAGCTTTATAACTGGGTCAGTTACCACAGTGGGTTTATTTTTCCTGGCTTTTTAATCTCTTCCATGGCTCAGATTATATGCCAGCTCTTAAAATGCAAAGTACTGCAGTACAGTTTTGCTCCTGACTGGGCTGTCCTGCTAAGAAGACTTTTTTGTGATTTGTTCCCGCCCCCTATTAAAGTAAATTGCAACCTAATTCTCTTACTGTATGACTTGGATGACATTTCACCAGACAAATGTAAAAATCCCTCTCATAAAGACAAGGAGCACTTATTCAGGTGTGGATCTTGGGACATGTTTCATCATGTCCAGCTGCAGTGTGGCACATTTTTGTTGATCTTGAGAACAATAATAGTTTGAAAACTCTTGAGTAATTTGGAGTGTGTGATTAACTGCAGACTGGGTGTGTATCCTCTAACTAGTCCTCCTTTTAGAATATTGCAAAACAAGAAAATTAACATATTTTACTGATAATGATGGAGACATGGCAGATCCTCCCAAAAAAGTTGTGGATTATTTGAGAAGGACAAATATGCACGAACCATTTCCCAGTAAAGAGATTTATACAGTGGGGAGAACAAGTATTTGATACACTGTTGATTTTTCAGGTTTTCCCACTTGCAAAGCTTGTAGAAGACTGTAATTTTTTATCATAGGTACTCTTCAACTGTGAGTGATGGAATCTAAAACAAAAATCCAGAAAAATACAATGTATGATTTTTAAATAATTAATTTCCATTTTACTGTGTGAAATAAGTATTTGATCATCTATCAACCAGTAAGAATTTTGGCTCTCACAGACATGTTAGTTCTTCTTTAAGAAGCCCTCCTGTTCTCCACTCATTACCTGTATTAACTGCACCTGTTTGAACTCGTTACCTGTATAAAAGACACCTGTCCACACACTCAGTCAATCAGACTCCAGCATCTCCACAATGCCCAAGACCAGAGAGCTGTGTAAGGACATCAGGGATAAAATTGTAGACCTGCACAAGGCTGGGATGGGCTACAGACAATAGGCAAGCAGCTTGGTGAGAAGGCAACAACAGTTGGTGCAATTATTAGAAAATGGAAGAAATACAAAATAACGGAAAATCTCCCTCGGTCTGGGGCGCCATGCAAGATCTCACCTAGTGGAGCATCATTGATCTTGAGGAAGGTGAGGAATGAGCCCAGAACTACACGGCAGGACCTGGTCAATGACCTGAATAGAGCTGGGACCACAGTCTCAACGAAAACAATCAGTAACACTCTACGCCGTCAAGGATTAAAATCCTRCAGTGCACGCAAGGTGCCCTTCCTCAAGCCAACGCATGTCAAAGCCCGTCTGATGTTTGCAAATGACCATCTGAATGATCCAGAGGAGGAATGGGAGAAGGTCATGTGGTCTGATGAGACAAAAATATAACTTTTTGGTTTAAACTCCACTCGTCATGTTTGGAGGAAGAAGAATGATGAGTACAACCCCAAGAACACCATCCCAACCGTGAAGCATGGCGGTGGAAACATCATTCTTTGGGGATGCTTTTCTGCAAAGGGGACAGGACGACTGCACCATATTGTGGGAAGGATGGATGGGGCCATGTATCGTGAGATTTTGGCCAACAACCTCCTTCCCTCAGTAAGAGCAGTGAAGATGGGTCRTGGCTGGGTCTTCCAGCWTGATAACGACCCAAAACACACAGCCAGAGCAACTAAAGAGTGGCTCCGTAGGAAACATCTTAAGGTCCTGGAGAGGCCTAGCCAGTCTCCAGACCTGAATCCAATAGAAAATCTTTGGAGGGAGCTTAAAGTCCGTGTGGCCCAGCGACAGCCCCAAAACCTGAAGGCTCTGGAGGAGATCTGTATGGAGGAATGGGCCAAAATCCCTGCTGCAGTGTGTGCAAAYCTGRTCAAGAACTACAGGAAACGTCTGATCTCTGTAATTGCAAACAAAGGTTTCTGTACCAAATATTAAGTTTCATTTTTCTGGTGTATCAAATACTTATTTGAGAGACCACATCACACCTGTTTTAGCCTCTCTGCACTGGCTCCCTGTGACTTTGAGGAGTCATTTTAAAATTTTAGTTTTAACTTTCAGAGCACTTCATGGTCAGGCCTCCAAATACATACTGGACCTTCTGAARCCTCTCTGTCCATCCAGGACTTTGAGGTCTTCTAATCAAATGCTGCTGATGGTCCCTGGAACCCATTATAAAACCCGTGGAGACAAAGCTTTTCAGGTGGTGGCCCCGAGGCTCTGGAACGCTCTCCCTCTGTCCCTTCACTGTTCAGATTATTGACTCTCTTAAGAAACATCTTAAGGCATTTTTATTCAGACAGGTTTTAGTGAAGTGCTTTTTATTGTGTTTTAATTGTTGTTTTTATATCTGTGATCTGTTTTATTGTTTTTAATTATTTTTTGCTTTCTGTGAAGCACTTTGTGATGTTTGTGTCTGTGAAAGGTGCTATAGAAATAAAGTTTACTTACTTACTTACTTATTTCACACAATAAAATGGAAATGAATTATTAAAAAATCATACATTGTATTTTTCTGGATTTTTGTTTTAGATTCCATCACTCACAGTTGAAGAGTACCTACGATAAAAATTAGTCATCTACAAGCTTTGCAAGTGGGAAAACCTGAAAAATCAACAGTGTATCAAATACTTGTTCTCCCCACTGTAAATGATTTTGCTCAGTGATCAGACTCCAGAGTGGCGAAGAAGTTCCTTTCTGAATTTACCTCTTTTACTTGCTTGCTGTTTTTACTTACAACACAGACTTCCTTTATGTTTAAGAGGCCTGTGACGAAACAGGGATCCTCAAGTTGCTGGGAGACAGGCTCAAGTCATTGCATCATATCAGAGAACGACACCAGAACAGCAGGAAGGAAGAGGATGTCTGAGTCAACAAGGGCAGAGTTGGTGGTGTGGTGAATCATGATATAAAACCAAGAATCGCACAGCAATTTAAGCTACAATCATGATTTCCGTTTTGTGCATCTGCATTGTTCTGCAACAAAAGCTTAGAATCCAAGGATATGACCTGTTTTAATTTAAACTTTATATTTTCATTAATATTTTAGGTAAGGAGTTAGAGCGATGGACAAGATGCAGTAATCTTTATTTCTTGATTTTTTTTTGGTCAGACTTTTTTTTCTCCTTGTTGTAAAATCTGCTTGAATAAACTGCAACATTTGTGTGAAAATGAGGGACATTAATGTCTCTGATCTTCAGATAGAGTCCACTGTAACTAGTAGGAAAGGCCCGGTGGTCAATGTCTAGTTCCTGGTTTTTGTAATCATTTGTTTACACACAAATAATGAGGCAGACTTTACAGCGTGTGAATCACTGATTATTATTTTTTACCTCAACTTTACGGTTTGTCTGCGCAGGTGGAGCAGGTGCGGCTGCAGGATCGCTTCAGCAACAAATCCACGAACGGCACGCTGTACCTCACAGCTACGCATCTCATTTTTGTGGAAAGCAACTCCAACAACTCAACTTCTGCTGGGCAGGAGGTTTGGGTGAGTGGGGGACATTTAGCACCAACGTACAAATGTTGACTGGGGACGAATGAGCATCATTTTATAGTGGCAGTTGCTGGTTTACTGAAATTAAAACACACACATTGATGTTTATGTGACAACAACCGTATTCATGCATACTGATTACCTTTCATAGCAAAGCATTAATAATGCATCGTGTAACTCAGGGATTGATTGGTCTGTTGGTTCTTGTTCTAATTAGACCAGCTGTCAAAAACCAGCCTTTTTTATCAAATGAAACTATAATCAAGGATAACACACACACATATGGAACAGCAGTCTGCAAACTTTACAAGCAAAAAAGCAATGAGCAAAAATGTATTCAGAACCACAATATTTGTATCTTTAAATCTGTGAGACTGCTCTGTGTGTCCATATCCCTTCAAAACGGGGGGAAAATCCATGCAATTTGCATAAAATCCGTACAACTCGACATGTATGATTAAGGGTGTATTCAGACCAGGAAAGTCCTTTGGTCCAATTGTTTGGTCCGGACCAAAAATGGACTTTATTTTTTTCGTTTGGTGCGGTTTGTATTCACATTGTGCTTTTTTGCAAAC